GGGAACTGAAGAGATCCAACATCTTTTTAACCATTTGCTTCTAATTTGTTTTTTGACAGGGTTATCAATGCAGCCTAATCTTCTTGCCTCATCTTTCTTCCTGAATGATTGCTAGGATCACAGGCTGGAATCTCTCCTGGGCTACTGTTTTGTTTTTCGTGGGGATAGAATAATGGAGAAGAGATGGCTACGGACGTTTAGAGAGCTAGGCTACCTCCATACTGTTTTAATAGTTTCTACAGACACTTTACAAATGATCTAACAGACTCAGGAAAAGGTTTTCACAAGGTTACAATGCAGTATCAGCTTCAAACTAAAGACTCCTAAGGTAAAGGATGGGATGGTGAGAGAAAAAAAACAAGGCGTAAAACAGAAGAATCCCAAGATGTAAGGCCCTGGGCAAACAAGTAACAGGTGTGCATTTTTGAGGTACTCTATACTCTGAGGTCTGTGTTCAGTGAAGAGGAGAAGATTCAATCAACCAGCCACATCAACACCTAATTCCTAATAGTTTGACAGTTAGGTATTATGTCCACACATTTTAACAACTCCACTGTACTTCAACTTTTAAGGAAATAATTACTAATAAATGAAGCCAGTTTAAAACCATCACACAATTTTAGGATCTTACCTGGATGGATAAAGCTGTGGAAGTCTGCTATAATACCTTCCTGGAGGGAGTATTTAACACAGCCAATTTCACAAGGGAGGAAGCGCTGCTCACAATGAGGAGGTAGTTCACCATGGCTAAAAATGTTCAGAAAATAAAAAACGCCTCCAAGGAGAGCTGAAAAACAAAACCCAAGAGCCAGTTTTGTACAGGTATATGTTCCTGTATTTCTTAATAAATTAATTATAAAAGAAAACTCAATTATACCAAGTAAAAACTTTACAGTCATATTCATCAAGAATTTAAGTAGTAACCATCTTTTCTATAAAGCAACAAAATGATTCAGTTTTGCCTCTACATAACTCAGCTATAGAGTAACACCGAATTTCATCAATAGCATAGTAAAAGTTGTGGCATATATGCAACAATTAGAAAGGTTTGGGAAATAAAGTCCAACAGAACAAGTGAAGTAATGGATATTACTATGGATAATTTAGTTCTCTGCTTTTGTATTCTCTGCTAATATACAGAAGCCCACCTATAATGCAAGAGAACTATGTGGGACCAGTACTGTCCACTGAAGACCAGTGTTAAAAGCTTGTGCTAAACAAAGGCAGAACATGGCAAAAACAGCCAGAAGAAACAACAAAGGCTCTTTGCTGGCTATGTTCTCTTCTAGGGTGGTGCAATAATTCATCCTTGCTTTATGCCTGTCCACCCCAGGATATTTTAAAATTCTTTATCCCTTGTCCTTTTTGTGAGACAGGGTTTTCCTGTGTAACCCTAGCTGTCCTGGAACTCTCTTTGTAAACCAGGCTGGCCTCCAACTCACAGAGATCCTCCTGTCTTTGTCTCCCCAGTGCTGGGAGTAAAGGCGTGTGCCACCACACCTGGGCCAAGTCTTTATCCTTAATTGGCAAGTGATACTAGCACATCTTTATGGGTTACCATAGGGCTTCAACAGATTTATGAATTGTGGGGTGGTTAAATCAGGGTGATTAGCATACCCATCAATCCATAAACTCTCATTCTTGTTGTTCAAATAAAATCTCCTCTCTTACCAGGCTATGTAATAGGTCAAAGGTCTTATTCTTCCTGTCTTTCTCTATAACCTAAATGTGGGAGCTACAAAGATGTCGAAGAATTATGTTTAATAATGTATGAAGTGGTATAAACCAACAGAGACTTTGTTACAAAAAAAACCTTTCCAATATTATTTCAACAAATGCAAATTGTTCATCCTGCATAATATTTAAGCCCTTATAGCCAATTATTTTGATATACAAGATCAAAATGAATATAAATAAAAACATTTTGGGGGTGGGATGCCATGCAAAGGTATGTCTTTAAGTAAGGCAGTCAAAGGTCAATCTCTAAGGTCATTCTTTAGGAGTTGTCCATGTCTGCTGAGATGGGACCTGAGGCTTGCCCATCGGGCTAGGCTGGCCAGCCACTCTACTCTCCCTGCTTCCCCAGCACTACCACACCTCACTTTTCATATGGGAGCCTACCTTGCGTTTACATGGCAAACACCTTATTGACTGAGCCATCTTCCCCCACCATAAAGAAGACCTTTCTGATTGCCCAATACGCCATCCAAATTTAAGCATAATATTTTAGGAATACTCTACCTTGATCATTCTTTATGGATAAATTTGACACATCAGGGGGCGAAACACTTGGTTTTGGTACAAGCATGCCTGGCCTTCTCAGTGGTGTAGATATGAATTTCTGAAAGAGAATTACCAGTCAAGTGCTTTCAACAGAGCTACTGCTGGATACTTTACTTCACATATTTAACAGAGTAACTTCAAAATTGTTGTGGACTACTTCAGCGTTCTCTCGTGGTCAGTGAAATCGCATATATTTATCAGCGACAGCAGCAGTCAATGGCAACAACAGCAAGCCTATAAACATTATAAGAAGGCGAGTGGCCAATAAACAGCTACAGCTGAGAGCCATTCGTTCACTACCGACCATCTCATTTCCCCGAGTCACTCACGACCAAAGGCCAGGCCAGTGTCAAAGCAAGATTTTTGAAAGAAAACAAAACCCCAAACCTTGTAACACTGTCTGGTTTTCTTTCACTGAAAAGTAAAAACCAGAGCACACTGTGCCTCCAACTGTCACAAAACACACACACAGTATGCTTAACTTTTGAGGAGAAATTTTTTAACATTATTTTTCTTTCCTTTTGTTATATGTACAGGTGTTTGCCTGTATGTCACATGTGTGCAGTACCAGTGGAGGCCAGAGGAGGGCATTGGAATCCCCTGGAGCTGGAGTTACAGATTATAGCAAGCCACCATGTGGGGGCTGGGACTCGAACCTGTGTTCTTTGTAAGAGTAAGATTGCTCCTAATCACTGAGCCATCTCCAGCCCTTTGAAGAGAAATGTTTTTGTAAGAAATTACAATGACAAGAAAGATCAAAATTCACAAGCACAGAACATTGTAAATCCACCTGACTTAAAACATAAATCTACCTTATTAAAAAAAATAATTTGCCAAACGAGTTTCCATCCAATACCAACAGCTCAAGAATGAAATTTCAGCATGGACAAATAGAAAAGAACAACGTGAGGGAGAAGAGGAAAAAATTCCATTAACGACCTTGTGCTTTCTGAAAAGAAACAACTGGAAAACGATTTCTACTTAGTACTTTACTGCCCCACCACAAGGGAATTTGCTTAACTTTTCCCCCAGAGCGTCTACAAATGTTAACCCAGGTCTTTAAGTTTTGTTATTCCAATTATTCAAAGCACAGTTAACGAGAATTACGTAAAAATACAGTTCAACTACTTCTAAGTACATACAAGTTTTTGAAAAGATATATAACCTTTAAGTAATCAACGCGACTCTGGGAGGCCTTTTAGTGTAAGCCCCCGAACACTGAAGCCCCCCATCCCCTGGGCTTTTTTCACTGTCTGTAAACTCCCTGACGTTTCTCGGGCTCCACCTTGACGGGGAGCCCACGGGTGGGCAGGAGGGGGCTAGCCTTACCTGCTTCTCTGAAGGCCCAGAATCCTTTCCCTGGGCTGCTCTCCATTCCCGAGCCATTTCTGAGTATTTCTCCTTCTCATCCTCCCTCAGGAGCTTTGGGAGAAGAGGGGGACAGAGAGGGGAGCCGTGAGGCGTCCGTTCCACGACCCGTTTCTGGAAGGTTCTGTCGGTTGGTCCGACCCTGGGACAGGGCCCTTTACCCCATCCCCTCCACAGACGCCCCGAAGGCCGGGTCCCCTCTGCGCCCTCCCCGTAGCCCAACTGCCCGCAGCCTCACCGCCCAGTCGGCCGAGCAGTAGGGGATGGCGTCAGCCACGCGGGCCACCGGCAGGCCTCGCCGGCGCAGTTCGGGAATCTTCTCCTGCACGAAGAAATAGTAGGCATTGCGGCTGGCCCTGCGGTTGGGCATGGCGTCGTCGGGCCTCGACGCCCTCCAGAGGCACAGCCAGCAGCCGGCGCCCTCGCCGGGCTCCCGCCCTTAGTAACCGAGCTGGGCGCCTGCGCGCGCTCCTGCCCAGCGCTTGGCCAATCGGGGCGCAGCGCGCAGCCGCATTGGCTCACCGTTGGAGGGGGGCGGGGAAACAGCCTGAAACTGGAAGATTCCACCTCGTGGGGAGGCCGCGGGGGCGGGGAGGAAGGAGGAGTGAGGCGCAGGCGGGGAGCCTGGCGATTGGCTGGCTGGCTCGCCTGGTGGGCGGGGATTGTCACGTGGAAGGCCTGGTGTTTTTTTCTGTATATTGTTGCGTAATGTGCCCCGTTGGTGTGGGGCTGAGGACTCGCAGGTGCCTTACTTCCCAGGTGTTTTTCGGCTAGACCTAGCGAGGGTGTGCAAAGCACCGAGGGAGAAGGCCGGGACATTGGGGGGTAGCATGGATCTCTCTGAGAAGGGAAAATATATCTAGTGGATGGACTGGGGGCTGGGGGAGATAGGAACATGAGGGACCAGAAGAGAAGGATGAGGGGAGAGAGTACTGAAAGAGACAACTGGAAAGGGGGGGCATTTCAAGGTTAGGTGGAAACCTAGTGCAAGGGAAACTCTCAGAATCTACAAGGATGACGTCAGCTAAGACTCCTAGCCATAGGGATATGTAGCCTGAACTGGCCATCCCCTGTGATCCGGCGAGACTTACAGTGGAGGGATTGGAACACCAATCCTAGGCTAGTCATATACTCTTCAACACACGGTCTGTTCTGCCTACAAGATGTGCTGGGATAAAAGGGGTGCAGAAATTGTGGGAGTGGCCAACCAATGACTGGTCCAGCCTGAAACCCATGCTACGGGAGTGAGCTCACCCCTGACACTACCTAGAGTGCCAGGAACCAGCGGCTGGATAACCGAGAAACCTAACAAAACTGGCAAAAAAAAAAAAAAAAAAAAAAAAAAAAAAAAAAGGAAGAAGGAAGGAAGGAAGGAAGGAAGGAAAAAGAAAAATCAGTGTAAGATGCTTAATGATATGCTCATAGACAGGGCAGCTTTCCTTATGGTTCCAGAGTTACTATCACTTCATAAAACGAATGCCCTTTTTCTCTAATTAGAATTGAGTAAGTGGTGAGGATTACCGATTCTTTTGGAAATTTGGTAGATTTTCTTGTTTAAGCTCTGATACTGACAACCCTCAAAGGGCAGCAGGGGCTGAACCTTGCCGGTATCTGGCATGGGTTGCCTTCAGTCATTTCTCTTAGAAACGCATGCTACATTTGTGATTGCAAGTATATTGGTATAAAATGTGGTGAGGAGAGGAGGCTACAAAGACTTTTGTAAATATTGATGAGACAACAGCTTGACCAGATCTTCTCCTGCTTAGCTCAGTGACTCAACAAACTCACTCTTTCAGGAAGCGCAGACTTACACAAAGGTTTGTAGATGAATCTTCTAACAGCTCTATTCTTCAAAAGTCTCCGCGCTGAATACCTCAAAGTCATCAACAGTTGAATTGGTAAATCGTGATATATAATATGGCAGACTCCGGGGAGGGGAGGTTAAGAGGAAATGAGCTAGTCTTGACACTCAACATGAATTCTGTAATGTTGCTGAGTAAAAGAAAGCATACATAAAAAGTACATTTTTTTGTGACACAATGGATACAACCCTGAGAAAGGTAAGAACATGCATAGTTATAGAAATCAGATCAGTAGTAGCCCGAGGCCTGGAGGTAGGGGAAAGAATAGAACTAACACAGAACAGCTTGGAGTTGGCACGCTATTTTGTGCTCTGTAGTGTTAGTGGTGACAAGTAGGGCATGTCAAAATTCATCAGATTGTATTTGGAGATGTATGTATTTTCAAAAGTTATTATTTGACGTATATGGGTATGCTGTGGGACAATGGATTTTATCTTGTAAAGATTTGTTTCTTGTACTTGTTTTAAAAAATGTCAATTTTAGGCAGGAAGTAGAGGTGGGGCAATGGGAACAGGAGAATTCTGGGAAGAGGAAATATTCAGTCTGTAGTTGTCACCCAGATGCAGAGGAAACAAGAAGAGAATGCCTCACTGATAAAGGTACTAAGCCACATGGCTAACACAGACAAGAATTATGGGCTAATTTAAGATGTAAAAATTAATTAATAAGAAGCCTGACTAATAGGCCAATCAGTTTATAATTAATGTAGACCTCTGTGTACTTCTTTGGGACTGAACGGCTGAGGGAACAGGTCAGGACAGAAACCTCAGTCAACATGGGTGTGTTTCCTGCGCGTCCATCTTTGTACTATGTGCATGCCTAGTGCCCTTAGAGGACATTGGATCCCCTGAAACAGGGGTTATGGATGGTTTGTAAGCTGCTATGTGGGTGCTGGGAGCTGAACTTACTTCTCTGGAAGAGCAGTAAGAACTCCTAACTCGTGTCATCTCTCCAACTGCATATTGCATTCATTTTATTCTGTGTAAACTACAGTTTAATAAAATTGATTTTTTAAGACAAGATTGGCATAAAAATGAATGTAATACTTGTGTATAGCTTTAAAAATCACACACTGTCTCCTTTATTTTTTTCCTAATATTATTTAAGCCTTCCAAGCCTTTTCTTAATATTTGTTAAAGTGTTTTATTGATCATTTAAATAATCTGAATTTTTGTTCTATTCAAAAGCATTAATATTTTTCTTCTCACCTCTCTCTTATTTAAATGTATCCATCCCTTCGACTTCAGCCTGTTTTGCATTTCTTTTTCTAGCTCTGGAATAAAATATTTTATTCTTTTCAATGTCTATTTTTATAGGTTTATTTCTCTCGTTTCTGCTTTAGTTGGATTAATCAGTATTTCTACCCTACTTACTTTTCCTCTGACTTCAAAGTTACCCATTTTTTTGTTTTTCTTCATTTTACAGACAGGGTGTGGGGGCCAAAGGACAACTTTCAGGGTTCACCGTGTGGGATCTGAGCTTGATCATCATCAGGCCATTGGGCCTATAGAAACATCGCTACCCTGAGCCATCTCTCCAGCTCCCATTTCTGAAAGACAGCCTACAGATCCCTCTCTTTTGGAGAGAACTGTTAACGAAGCAGCCTCACATTTGGAGACCGGAGGGACTGCCGTCCTGGTCCTCCCACTGAAGACCACTTCAAAGATGTCTTGAGGAGACTACCCTCCAGCTGCGACCATGGCTGCTGCCGAAGCCGCCATTTCTCCTTCAGGAGGTCTTGCTCTGGTACAGCTGCACCAGCTTACATCAGTAACAAGAACATCAATCAGCCACGGCAGGGCTTCTCTTCCGGCAGCTGTTCTCACTCAGGATGGGAATGCTATCGGTGACTCAGAAAATAAAAAGTTGTTATTTGGTGCTTATGTAAGCCTTGCGATTGGTACTAAGGTAAAACTCAGGTGAGACGAGAAGCTGTGCACGTGGAAGGCTGTGATTGGTAGAATCACAGTCTGTGCATAGGTGTGATATAAGCAGGATGTTTTCCATGCCTTGGAAGCTCATTTAGGAGGATTTTCTCCATGTGCAGTCTCCAGGGCAGGAGCATTGAGCCCAATTAGGGCTTCTCTGAATGGCCTTTGGCTGAGATGCCGTCTTGACCATTGTTCTAGTGTGCTGAACAGGTTTCAGGAAGAGCAGCCTCAACAATAGCAACAACAGAGAAGAGTCAGTTAAGAAGTGCAGACAAGCCACAGGGAGCTGAGAGCCCTGGCATCCAAGCTCAGAGATATGTTATCAAGAGGCAGCTGAGCATTCCAGACATCCACCAACGGCTGAAGCTACAAAAAGCTAATACTAGAAAGAATGTTATTGTAAAGTCTCTGGCTGGTGAGACTGTTGTAAGCCATGGCTATTGGGACAGCAAGCCTTGGCCACTAGAAGAGTCCGTAGCATCCACTGAAGGTTAAAGTCAAACTGTAACTCCAGCCTCTGAATACCGGTCCTCTAGCCCAGAGAAGTGCTCATTTTGAGCACATCCAGCAATAAGCCTTTGTCTTTAAAAGCTTGGAGCTCTGGCTCAAGGCGTGGAGCTATCAGTCTCTCCATTATCTCTGCCTTAGAAACCTCATGAACTCAGGGTTAGCAACATTCACAGAGCAGCTCCCTGCTACCTGCGGTTGTATTTAAATAAAGAAAAAGAGCCCTTAGTCAACCACTTGTGACAGTTTCAGGGGTTTGTGGGATTTTTTTTTTAACCAATGTTGAGAAATAATCATCATACAAAAAACAGCACATATCTAAAATATAAAGGTTTGGTGAGTTCTGGCATTTGAACACCTGTGAAACTATGCCTGCAAACAGATAAAGAACAATCCACTCCATTTCCTCATCACCCCCGCACACTGCAGGCAGTTCCTACAGCTCTCTACTCATTTTTCCTTCGTCTTTTTCTGTCTCTCACGGTGCAGACTTTTCTTCCGTTGCTCTGTCCTCACGTTCACTCGTATTTTCTTCTATATCCGATGTTAATCCTTTCAGAATATTTTCATACCAGATTATTCCGTTTCTATCAGTAGGAGTTAATTGAAACTCTTAAAAATATCTTCTACTTCTCTACTCAACATAGCCTTTCTTTCTTCCTCCACACAGAATTGAGTTATAATATATAAAAGTTACAGTAACCACTACTTGTCCGTGGCTACCCGTTTTGTCGTCTGAGTCATTTCTGGTTATGTCTCAACAGGTTGACTTTTTTTTTTTTATGGGTTAGTGTCCTATGTCTTTGCTTGGTAATATTTGATTGGTCATTTTACTCTGTTAAATGCTGTATTTAACACTCTGTTAAATGTGCTTGGCTTTAGGATATGGTTTGTTACATGGACACAGTTAAATGCTTGCTTCTGCTTCCTTTGCTTCTTTCTCTTATGCATTGCCATTTGAGAGCAGAGCAACCGCTAAGACTAATTTTCTCCACCACTGATGTGGCACCCTTCTGAGCACTCCACCTGATAGCCCATGAATTCAGAGGCTTTTCCATTTTGGCTGACAAGAACACAAACTATTTCTAGCCCTGTGTGAATTCCAGGGATTGTTCCTTCTTTCAATCCTTTCAAGTTGTTCTTTCCCTGGCACCGTGGAGCTTCCTCCCACACGCGCACACTGATCAGTATTCAGCTAAGGCGTCAAGGGAGATCCTCCCAGAGCTCCAGGGTGCTTTTGGCTTTCTGTTCTTCATGCTGCTTCCTCTTCCTGGTACTCTGCCTGCAGGCTCTTCTCATTCTGGCCAACCTGGACACTTGGCTCCGTTTGCTCAATCCAAGGAGACTCTAGGGCTTCCAGTGCTTGTCCTTCTTGATGCTGCATTCTGGATCCCCTGCCCTGCAGCCTTTGGTATAGTAACAGAGCTTGCCTTGTTTCTGCTTTTTTTTTTTTCAGGGCTAATTAGTTACATTGGCTCCCTGATGTCCAGTGTCTGAAATCATTCCATGTATTTGGCCAGGTATTTAGTTGCTTAAGGTTGTTGGATGAATCTTGGTTCCTTTCTCTTATTTTAACACTTAAAAAAAAATACTCAATTACTAAATTTTTAGATAGGTGGTCAGGATAAATCACCCTGAAGAGTAGGTGACTTTTAAAATGCAAAAAAAAGAGAAAGGAACAGAGAAATAAGAGTTCTAGACCAAGGGAATGGGCTGCACAAAGGCTCAGATAACGAAGTTCTAGGCATGTCCTCAGAGCAGTGAAAGCCTGCTTGGTAGTGCTAGCATGATTCTCTTCAGACAGAGAATGGTGTATGTTGTGGTTGGGACAATAAAGAGGGACCTGCACGCGGTCATTATGAAGAATTAAAATTGTAATCTCAATAAAATGGTCATTTAAGGGTTTTATGTTATAGTATTTTAATTGACAGAATGCATACACTTTTTTATATATGCACACACCATGAAATGACTAAATTGAGATGATTAATATATGCATTATTTTTGTACTTGGGTTTTTTTGTGTGTGGTGAAAACACCTTAAATCTCTTTTTTACAATTGCATTTATTTGTTTGGGGAGGTGTTCATGTGCTGTGGCAAGTAAGGGAAATCAGAGGGCAACTTGTGGGAATCCATTCTCTCCTTTTACCCCATGGATTCTGAGACCAAATGCAGGACTTCAGGTTTGGTGGCCAACACCTTTACCTGCTGAGCCATTTCTCTGGACCAGAAACTATTATTATTTAAATGCTTTTAGAAACATGTCATGATGTGATTTATAGTTCAAGGTCAATGTATTTTTTTTTCATTTATAGTTAAAGTCAGTACTGTTTGGAGAATGACCCAAGGCGGTAAGAATGGGAGCTGGCGAGATGGCTCTTTGGTTAAAGATGTTGAGAAGCTGGACAGCCAGAGTTCAACTCTCAGAACCCACGTGGTAGTAGAAGAGAGTTGACTCTTGCAGGTTGTCCTCACACCTCCACATGTGCACCATGCTGCCCCCCCCCCTATTTTTTTTTTTAAATAACAAGAATTGGCAGTTCCTTCAAGAGTCAAGGTGACAAAAGCTATGGATGAGCCTGAGTGATAGAGTGCTTGCCAGCATCCCTGGGGTCACTAGCATCACAAGATGAGGAAAGAGAGTCTAGGGGAACGCTGCATGTGAGGGCATCACAAGCTAAAGGCCAACCTATATAACTTATTGAGACCTAGCCTCAAAATGCAAAGATTGAAAATCACTGGGGATGTAGCTTAATGGTTCTTAAATGTAACTTCAAAGTTCTTGCCTAGCATGCACGAGGTCTTAGGACCTTTAGGCTGCAATCCCTAGGACCTAGGAGACTTAGAAAAGTCTAGGTGCAAGTGAACCTAGGTGGAGGCCTGGAACAGAAATGCACGGGCAGACATGGAAAGCAAGCAAGGAAGGACTAGAATTGTATTTCAGGGAAAAGCAGAACTTATAGATCACATGCAAAAATGAGGGAATTGGAGTAACCTAAAGGTCTGTGCTTGAGGAACGAAGTGACAGATGGTGCTTTTGCTGTGTTGGGAAGGATTTAGGATAGAGGGAAACAGTGTTGGTGCTAAGGAGGTCCAAAGCACTGCGAAACCTCCATTATCTGCTCATCTCATTCTTTGACACATGTCTTCATTATTAAGCCATAAATAAACAAACAACTTTATCTATTTTTCAACCAGACCAATTGTGTTTTTCAGAAATTTCAGAGGATGGCAGACTTTGGTTGGGGTAGTTTGGGGATTAATGGCTCCATTATGGACATGTTAATTTCTAGATGCCTATTATATATTCGAGTGAGGATATAAAGTGGGCAAGAGGCCACATAAGTTTGGAGTTCTGGCCCTGAGATAGAATTTGGAAGTAAGCCACATAAAGATGGTATTTAAATTTGTGGAAATGGATGAGATAGCCTAAGGAGAGAGTGGAGAAGCAAAAAGAGAGAAAAAAGGACCCAAGATGGAGTGCCAAGGAACACAAGCACTTAGAAGATTAAGTAAAGGTGACTAAGAAGAAATATAGGGAGAATTAGAAAGAAAATGAGGCAAACCAAGGGATGAGAGACCCTACCAGGCAGCAGTTAATTTCCTCAGTACACATTTAATAAGAGCCTCCTGAGCATCAGTTCTGTTATAGTTAAAGGAATAAGTTGAATAAAATAAAGGTTATAATGAGTAAAATGAATAATAAAGAAATAAACAATTATGTATCTACTTAGATATCAGAACATTGTGTTGCAGAAGTCCAATGAAGAAAAACAGAATAAGGCGATAGTAATGGACGAAGCCTGAAAGTTAGGGTGATCAGAAAAGCCATATACTAAAAATAGGATGGTCAGAAAAGCCCCTGGGTAAGACAACAGAATGTGGACAGACCTGAAGCAATTGTAAAAAAGCCCAACCATGAAAGTCCTAGATATCATTCCAGGCAGGAAGAACAGCAAACACGCAGGTGACATAGGAGCGTGTCTGGTGTGTTTGAATAGCAGCAAAGCCACTCCTATAAGTAGAATAAGGGAGAAGGTAAGGGTATTAGATGGTGAGTGAGGGCCAAGCCACACGGGACTCACAAGGCCACCATAAAGGCTTAGATTTTAGTCTAAATGAGGGAAAGGTGCCAGAGATTTGGGTGAATCCTCTCTCTCTCTCTCTCTCTCTCTCTCTCTCCCTCCCTCCCTCCCTCCCTCCCTCAAATATGAACACAGAATATGCAATCTTCCTCTACGTGTACTGGAAAGCACCTGATGTTGCTTGTTGTTTGTGTATCGACCCCACCTTGTTCTGGTAAAGTAACGGCAGTTAATATTCTCTGAAAGGCACTGTATTGGCCTCTGCTAAAACCTCCATGAGAGGTGTTTCACATCCCCCTCACAGCTGTAAGAAACAGAGTCTGTGATTAGCTCTGTCTGAAGACCAGGAAATCGGAACT